TCCAAACCAAAAGTATGTCTGAAGAAAGGCTATCGTTTGACCTACACATACAAATTATTTTCCTTCGGTTCTGGTGCTAAAAAAAGTTTAAAGCAAATTTTGCAACAGTTTATCCACATCTTCTTAAACAGCAATTTTTAACATTGAAACAATTTTAGTTTTTATGATTAAAGGGACAATGGTTGCAAAATACATCGCGTATATTATTCAGTCTCTTCATTATTGAAATTCTAAAGGTTTTTTCAACTTTCTGATTTTTACCCCATGATTTAAATTTCATGGGAAACAGTTTTATTTTTAAAAAGACTGAAATAATACTTTTTATGTTTTAGTCATTGACATTCAGTGCAAATTATTTCCAGGAATTGTACTAGATCGTGTCTACTATTAATGACGTTGTTGTATAACATGTACAGCCAAAGATAAACTCATCAGAGATACTAGGATGAAAATGTTACACGCCAGACGCACCTATCGTCTGCAAAAGTCTCATCAGTGACGCTCGAGTCAAAAAAGTAAAAAGGCAAAATATAGTACGAAATTGAAGAGTGTTCAGGACCAAAATTCTGAAAGGTTTTACCAAAAACAGTTAAGGTAGTCTATTCCTGGGGTAGAAAATTCTTAGTATTTCGTAAAATTCAAAGTTTTAAAAAACAGTTACTTTATTTGTTTACCGTTGTTTTGCTTGTACTTTTCTCTTGTTGGCTGTTATAACATGTTATAGAGGTAACGTCAAGGAAGAGTAAAATTTTATGTCGATGATTCTAGTAAAAATTTTGCATACAACAGCATTATGTTCAAATTAACCTAATAAATACTTCATTTAACTCATATACTTTCTAAACTATCATGTAATGAATATCCTTAAAACAGTTCAAAATTGGTAGAACGTACGTAAAATCTATCAAGAACTTTGTCTAGATTATCTATCTCTACACCCAGGCCAGTCCATAGATTTGTTTTTAAATGAATAGATATGTTGTTGCCAGATGAATTTCCGTTTTACTGATTTTGAAATAAAAATAGGGTCATCGACCTCGTCGTTGGGTGTACATCAGTCAAAGTGGTGTTTTTGTTGAAAAAAGTACCAAAAACTTCGACATAAGCTAACGACGTCGCTTTGTTAAGTCATAAAATATCGTTCATATACCAAAAACTAAGTTGGTCACCCTATGATATTTTATATCACTTAAGGTAGATGGGGTGTCTTAATTATAATCCATAGAATTTTTTAATAATTTGCCAAAATGTAGTTTATATCATGCTTTTTAAAAAATAATAATAAAAAGAATGGGTCACGGGGCTTATTTTCACGCTACAAGTTGTGAAAAATTGACAGATTTTGTATAGATCATGCATGGAAAACCCAATTTTCTGCCATAAAACGAAAACTACACCATAGAATTTTGAGATAAAATATGAGAAGATAGCTCTAATAGTATGCTTTCAGATAAGAAAAAGAAAAAATGGGGTCACGGGACCCGTTTTCTTGCTACATAATAAAATAGGTAAATTCCTAACACATTCTATTGTAAAAGTAACTGTATCTGAATTATCTGCCCTTACATTTGAGTTGCCTCCCCTTATGTGGCAAAGTTGAAAAAAGTAGAATCAAACAAAAGTATTTTTTGTAAAATACAACCATAGATATGATAAAATATGTCAATTTTTATATTGAAATGAAAATTCTTACACATGAATTACCTACTAATTGCACCTTTTATTAAAGATTTATAACGATTGTTTTCTGGTATTTCAAAATCCAAGATGGAGGAAGACACCCTATCTACCTTAAACGGAATGTTCTGTATTTCAAACAGATCAGTTTTACGAAAAATCTATGGATTGGTTTTAGAGGTTTATCTATCATCACAGATCGTATGTGCTTTCTTTACAAATGTACATCTGTTGAGAAATTTAATTAAACAAATTATAGAGATAAATGCATTATTGTTTCAATTTTTAGTTCAAGTTAATCACAACGTAGTTGTATACCATATCATATAAAAATGTGACACGACCAATGCACTGTAGCTTGATCCTTAAAGTGTCATTCCTGCTATTTCTATTTTCGGATTTTGTACTCTCTTTTAAGTACCTTTTGTTATTTCGTGCGACTGATGATATTTAAAAATAATAGTTTACATATAACTCCGGCACATATGAATGTGCTTGTTCCATGTTAGAAACCTCATTAGTTTGTTTCAAAGTTTGAATAAATGTTTTGTTATTTTTTTATCATTTGTCATTTGGTAATGATGACAGATCAGTGGTATGTTTCTGCTTAATTCATTCACTACCATTTGCCGATTAAGATTTTTGGAAAACTGTTTATTAGAGTGAGTGACCCATATTCGCCGCATAATTCGTACATTCCCACTTACATCCGACCTACATTCGAATATTTGGAACTTTTTATGTAGGTTTCAGAATGTTAACTATATGAAAAAAATGTTTGATAAAGGAATCATCTTCAAAACATTGGTTAAATGTTCTAAAAACAAACGCAATTCAAGAGGAAATCACGTTGCTCATGTACCATGGGGGACACATTTTCGCCGCAATGTATGATATGACCATCCTCATTATCCTGGTATATCATAAAAACGAATGTTTGCAATAACATGAATTAGCTTGAGAGATCATTCTTATACGATTTTTCTCACAAATATTTACGTTAAGACTGCGTATGAATGCCATATAAATCTTACATAATTGCCAAAATCGTTTTAAAACACCTGCGTATTTCTTTATATGTGCGAACAACCTTGGAAATGGGGTAAAGAGGAAGATCAACAGTTCGAACATAACAAACAGCCTTTACCATCTTTTTAGGCAAGTATTGGGTAAAGGCACACAAATTTTACAGAAGAAATAGCAAAACGGAGAAAATGTGTCCCAGGCGAATATGCGCCACCCACTCTAACCTTTAGAGTTCTTTTTACTTTTAAGTGTAGTTGACTTGCTTTCTCATTGAAGCATACGAATCCTCTCCTTTTATTCACATGTTTGAACGTGACCAAAACTCATAGAAAATTAATAGGCAAATGATCACGAGAGTTTCTTTTCCTATGGAGAAAAATATGTGTAAAAGTTTAAATTAACAGCTTATTTGAACTCAAATGAACAAACGTATTATTAATCATTAGAATTTAAAACATTGAGTTCTAATTATTCCATATCATATTTGAACTAGATTTAAGTAAACAAGAGTCAAATGAGCACTGTACCATCATAGCTCATAAATATGTGATACCAATTTCCGCGCATACGACACGTGTTTCTCGATGATAAACCTTTGTCTACATATGCCTTTGTATAAGAATTTTACAAGTTTTTCTTTTTCTTTTTCCAAAGGGGGTTCAGGTTTTGAAAGTAGTGAGCTTTGCAATATGAAACTCGATTTGATCTTTTTTATTGGAAAACTATCAACTAGAAGATATTTTTAATAAAATTATCTTATTATATTTCAATAGTCTGAAACAGCTTCCATTTTCATTTGATTATTTCCAAATGATCAAATTCTGGATCTGGCAAGTTAAGAAAGACACAAATTCTAACTAGCAACTATAAGAACGTTGATTTTTAAAAAAGAAATGCCACATGATAGTTATCATGCTGTGTACTGTACTCCTTAGATCTATTTCACTACTTGCATATCAGTTTTACACATTTTAACACTTGTTATAAGCTGTAAACTGTTTCCAAATGTTGCTAAGATCCCTTGATTTCTTAACCAAATTAAACTTAAGAGGCTTTAACAGAATTCTGATAAAGTCAAACTATGTGTTTCAGAAACAATCATCTTATCAGGATTATGTTTAGAACAATATCCCCAAAGAGACCAGCTTAGATGCTACAGACATATAGCAATTTTGTTTAGAAGGCCATTGATACAAGATGCTACTAACTTATCAGAATTCTGTTAAGAAGGCTATTGTTATGAGATGCGACAGTCTTATCAGAATTCTGCTAAGAAGACTATTGCTTTGAGATGCGACAGTCTTATCAGAATTCTGTTAAGTAGGTTATTGCTATCAGATGTGAGTCTTATCAGAATTCCGTTAAGGGTTTCATTGGTACTATATTCGATTCTTACCAGAATTCTGTTAAGAGGGCTATTGTTATGAGATGCGACTGTCTTATCAGAATTCTGTTAAGAAGGCTATTGTTATCAGATGTAAGTTTTATCAGAATTCCGTTAAGGGTTTCATTGGTACTATATTCGATTCTTACCAGAATTCTGTTAAGAGGGCTATTGTTATGAGATGCGACTGTCTTATCAGAATTCTGTTAAGAAGGCTATTGTTATCAGATGTAAGTTTTATCAGAATTCCGTTAAGGGTTTCATTGGTACTATATTCGATTCTTATCAGAATTCTGTTAAGAAGGCTATTGTTATCAGATGCGACTTTCTTATCAGAATTCTGTTAAGAAGGTTAATGTTATGAGATGCGAATGTCTTATCAGAATTCTGTTAAGAAGGCTATTGTTATCAGATGTGAGACTTATCAGAATTCCGTTAAGGGTTTCACTGGTACTATATTCGAAGTGTTATCAGAATTCTGTTAAGAATTATATTGTTATCAGACGCGACAATCTTATCACTGAGAATTCTGTTAAGGACAAAATGTATATTGAAATGTTGGCATATCATTATTAAGAAATACTGTAAAGGACATGAAGAATATTGACATTTATCATATACTTAGAGTAAATAACTTATAATTTTTACAGTATGATAATAGCATTAAATTTACGTGAATTCCATATTTTCCGAAATGGTGTTTAGCGGGCTGATATGAAAAATTTATCACATGCTTCCGATTATTATCACATGCCTTTCCGTAACGTTACCGTATGGCATTCCGGCGTTACTCGGCAAATTCCGGAAAATACACCTCAATGCTACGTTTTCAGTGAAAAACTTTACAAAGTAGGGTACAAAACAATTATAAGGAAACAGGAACATTATTTTACTTTTTATATTATGTAAAATGCAAAAAACAAATCAAGTGATACAATAAATGCATTTTTTAAAGTTTCCAGCATAATTTAGAAAGTCACTTTATAAATGTTGACTTTTCCTAATAGTGTCCATTATGTTTTGTTGATTTTTTTTTATCGTCAATATAATAATGTATAATTATACTGTTGTTTTTCTCCTCTGTTGAGGCATATGATAGAAAGATTTCATAAAGAATTTTCACTTTTTGAACTTCTACTTGAGAACCACTTAAACGGAGCAATATATTAAACTGTTATTTTTCTCCATTATTGAAGCATATGATAAAAATATCATAACATGTCATTTTTCATATCAGATGTATTATCAGCCCAAGGTTCAATATCAGCCCAAGAGCCGAAGTCCATGTAATAATCTGATAGTATGTCTATCAGAATTATGGTAAGGACATTATTGTTAACAAGGTAAAACGAAACATAGACATATGTATCGTATGAAAAGAAAATACCGCATTTAATTTGAAAGTAATATTATAATAATAAATGAACTCAGTTAATCGTACTTGGTGGCCTTGCAGTGAGGTGAGAGTTGTTCCTTTGTTATAAAGTCTTCGTAGAAAAACAAATTGACAAATGATTGGTAAACATTTTCCTTACCTTTTCATTACAATAACATCAAATTTTGATAAAACATTAATAAACTCCCTTAAGCACATCAAATACATTTTAATTTGTAGCTACTGTCTGCTTTAAATACACACATACAACAGCAATACTTTTTTCATGTGTTCAATTAGAATTAGGAATGCTTACTGAAAGATACAAATGGAATTTAATTTGACTTAAAACGTCTGGAAAAATCATAAGTGGAAACTTTGTTACACTTCTTTAAATATTATAGTAAGTAAGATATTATGCATATTGTAATTGACAATTTTGTACAATATTCACACTTTTAGGATTTGTTAATCTTATCCTCAAATATATATATTGTTGATCATATCCTCCTAATACATGATGTAATAGCTGATACTCGTTGGAGTCATTTAGGGTCCCACACATACATGTAGAAGCACTATATATAACAGTTTTTTAAATGTTGTAGAGCATTAAGTTTCCTTTCCAACGTCAACTTGTATTTCCCAACCAACAAGAGAACAAATGTGTGGTGTTCTTCTCTAAACCAGGAAATGTTTCCTGAAAAAGAAAGAAAATGAAACTTTAAAACCCTATTTTAGAGTTTCTTTGATACATTAAGTATGAATAAAAGGAGGAGTGAGGTACATGTCAATGAACCAGCAACCTAACCACATCCTGAATGTCAAAATACCTGTTCAACAAAAGAATGTATAGTTAATATCGTTCGAATTAATTTCTAATCAAATGAGTTTAGATTATTCAAACTTCCACATATATATTTGCACTTAACACCAAAATCTACAAACAATAAAAATCAATAAGAAATTACAGGAAACACGGACGAGGTTACCGGTTTTAAGCAGAAATATAAACTTGGGTCGGTAAAAAACAAAATTTCACATCACCCACCCTTTATATCAAAATGAAGGACTCTTTAGTTCATAGCAAGAAACACAATGCAAGCGATCTTAAAGTCAACCGTCTTGAGATTATGTAATGCATCACATGCACCGATAATTTGACAGCCACTGATTTGAAGATACATTAGTTCATCATAAACACCGAGATCTTGACAGTCAAACATTTTAAGATACATAAAAGTAACTGAACACAAGCACCGAGATATTGACTGACACTCATCTTGAGGTATATTGATACACCACAAGCAACAAAATCCTGATAGACACTGATATTGAGATACAGTAATGCACCAGAAGCACCAAGAGATCTTAACAGTCACTCATCTTGAGATACAGGATAGCATCACAAGCAACGAGATCTTGACAGTCACTCATCTTGAGATACATTATAATATCACAAGCACCGAGATCTTGACAGTCACTCATCTTGAGATACAGTAAAGCAACACAAGCACCGAGATATTGTTAGTCGCTCATCTTGAGATACAATAATGAATCACAAGCACCGAGATCTTGACAGTCACTCATCTTGAGAAACAATAAAGCATCACAAGCACCGAGATCTTGACAGTCACTCATCTTGAGATACAGTAAAGCAACACAAGCACCGAGATCTTGTTAGTCACTCATCTTGATATACAATAATGAATCACAAGCACCGAGATCTTGACAGTCACTCATCTTGAGAAACAATAAAGCATCACAAGCACCGAGATCTTGACAGTCACTCATCTTGAGATACAGTAAAGCAACACAAGCACCGAGATCTTGTTAGTCACTCATCTTGAGATACAATAATGAATCACAAGCACCGAGATCTTGACAGTCACTCATCTTGAGAAACAATAAAGCATCACAAGCACCGAGATCTTGACAGTCACTCATCTTGAGATACAGTAAAGCAACACAAGCACCGAGATCTTGTTAGTCACTCATCTTGAGATACAATAATGAATCACAAAGCACCGAGATCTTGTTAGTCACTCATTTTGAGATACAATAATGAATCACAAGCACCGAGATATTACAGTCAATCATCATGAAAACAATAAAGCAAGACAAGCGCTGAGATCTTGAAAGTCACTCATTATGAGATACAATAAAGCAACACAAGCATCGAGATCTCACAGTCACTCATCTTAAGATACAGTAATGCACCACAAGCAACCACAAATATTGACAATCACTAATCTTGAGATACAATAATAAATCACAAGTACCAAAATTTCACAGTCAATGATCATGAGAAACAATAAAGCAATACAAGCACTAAGATCTTGACAGTCACTCATCTTAAGATACAGTAAAGCAACACTAGCACTGAGATCTTGACAGTTACTCAGCTTGAGATACAATAATGAATCTATGCACCGAGATCTCACAGTCACTCATCAAGAGATACAGTAAAGTAAAACAACACCGAGATCTTGACAGTCACTCATCTTCAGATACAGAAATGAATTACAAGCACCGAGATCTCGCAGTCACTGATCTTGAGAAACAGTAAAGCAACACAAACACCGAGATCTTTTAATAGTCACTCATCATGATATGCAGTACAAAAGAACAAGCACTGAGATCTCACAGTCACTCATCTTGATAAACAACAAAGCAGCACAAACACTGCGATCTTTACAGTCACTCATATTGAGAAACATTAACTTCAAAGCAGATTCTGATAATCATTTATTTTGGAGTATATCCATACACCACAAGCATCGAGATCTAGAGAGTCACTCATCTTGAGAAACAGTAAAACAACACAAGCACCAAGATCTTGACAGTCACTCGTCTGGAGAAACAGTAAAACAACAGAAGCACCGAGAACTTAACAGTCACTTATATTGAGACGTGTTCGTACACCACATGCACCGATAACTTGACAGTCACTCAACATAAAGATGTTCATACACCACAAGCATCGAGAACTTGACGGTAACTCACTTGAGATATATGCATACACCACAAGCATCGCGATCTTGACAGACACATCCTGAGATATTGGCAAACACCCTCCACAAGCAATGAGATCATGACGGTCATTCACTTTAAGATACAGTAATGAACCACAAGCACCTTTGTCTGTATGGAAATATATTCTTTGATTAAAACACATTACTAGTGCCTCTGCAAAGATACTAGGTAAGTTATTTTAAAGTTTGTATATAATATAGATGGGTAAAGCAGAAAGTTTGTGCACACGCAAAACTAGTTTACAAAATGTCCTGCCGGTAGCAAATTCGTCTATATATATATATCTAGACTATGAGTGTTGTGTTCTGCTTTTTGTCTATGTACATGTATTTTCTCGTAGGGGTCGGGTCTTCTTGTTGTGGTCTGATGTACGAAGAAAAGCGATATTCAAGTATAATAATACGATTTATCAAAATTTCTTTTCCAGCTGCTTTGTTACCTAGTAATATTTTCAACCACAGACGACAAATATGCTTCCATAAATTGCCCTGTTAATGAATTTTGATGATGATCAGTTTTGTAAACACATTTAGTATCTGACTGTTATTTTTAAGAAAACAGAAGATAAGAACAAAAGAGTTACTATTTAAAGAAATTAATATTTAAGAGCTGCCAGGTAAAAAACAAACAAGAAATTATTTGGAGCTTTAAAGGAATCAAAATATAAATATACAAATATTCAACAAATATAGTTGTACAATTATGCTTTCTGTTTTGATTTCCATTTGAAAGTGATTTATAAGGATTACCTATCTTTTGAGTTAGTATAGATTGTTCACCTGGCCAGCCTTCTCATCGAAATCATCTTGGTAACCTGAAATACAATAACTAAATCAATTTAAAAAAAGTACATGTAATGTATGGAACATATACACATTTGTATACGAGTCACAGAGACAAATAACTAATATAGGATCCAAACAAATTACCATGCACATCTCCTTATTTTCATATTAATTCATGCTTCAGGATACACGAAGGACACATTTTGCGTAAAAAACTTATTAAATGCAAGCGCCATGTATTCTTTGTGCATTTTCAGGAGCCGTATAAAGATTGCAATTTTTCATCAAAAGCAAGCTCTTATCGCTAATTTGACACTGTGAATCAATTTTTTGTAGCATACGTTACTGTCAAACCAATTTTCTGAAATCCTAGTTAAAAAAATTGATTCTCAAAATTAGTGATTCTTAAATTGACCTTAGTTGCAATCTTTAATACAAAAAGATGTTTATCAGAAGAAAAAAATGATTTAAATTTTTACACCAAATCCCCAAACTTTTATTAACAATTGGTTTTTGTTTTGTTTCCTGGAATCAATCGGCATATACATTGGTGTTAATAATCATTAAATTAATGTTTAAAATTCTACTCCAAAAAGATGTATCTCGAAGTCTGTGATAAAACGAAAATACGCCACATTAATTATGCAATACCTGTGGTAGATGTTATCAATGCAAAAGGACAATGCTGACTGCCAAACAGTTTCTTTTTCAGTAAAATACGTAAAAGTAAAATAATAAACTATGTAAATAAAAGCACATGGTAAAAAACTTGTATATATATACCAGCATTTGGGGGAAGCTAATCCTTTAATCACCTGTTGATACCAATTGCCCAGCTGTTAATCTCTGACCACTTGGTCATATCTTATTAAATCGCAATGAAAATTAATTTATACAACTATGCAGGGCAGAAGCGGATTAAGGGGGGGGGGGGGGGGGGGGGGGGGGGCAGGGTGCCCGGATCTCCCCTTTGTGGGAAAATTTTTGTTGCTATAGGGAATCACTGAGGCATGACTGGAGCGGGCCTCCTCTGCGACAGTCAGTGCCCCCCCCCCTCTTTTATGTACATTTCTGGATCCGCTACTGCAGGTAACCAAAGAAAACATAAGCGAACAAAACTGTAGAGGGAAAAATCTTAAGTGAAAACATATATTTATAGATAAATATTAAGTGTAAGATTAGTTTTAAAAAAACTCTGACAAATGTTCTTTCTAAGGCAAGAAGAATTTGTATCTGAATCTGACAGCGACATTCACAACACTTATTATTCTAGACAAATAACCTTGATAATAGTGATTTTTTTTAACTAAATTTTCGTTTTATTTTTGGAGAGGACAGTATGTTGTATGAAAATATCTCTTCTCTTATACATGTACATTTTTCGAGACATTTCAAAGTGTCTGTGTCCTTGTTTATTTCACAGTACAACCTGTTTCTTTTTAAATATGAATGATAATTATTATTTCATAGTGAGAATGCTGTTAAATATTAATTACATGCGTTGGTCACTTAAACTGGGCCCCTGTTGTGTTCACGTATTGTGTGGTTCTATTGATAAGATAAATGATTAAAGACGCTTCTGGGGTGTTCCCAGAGGAATGTTTATAAATATTTTGAATTTATATTCAGTTTTCCAGTGATTTAACAAATCAAACATGGGAATTGTGATCAAAAAATGAAAAAAAAAAAGAAACTTTATGGGTGACCCCTATGGTTTGGCTTTGATGTATGTTGTAAAAGCGAGTATTTTCTACAACAGCGTGTTCCAGTTATTGGATAATATGTTTCTGAATGAATTTATTGGTCTCGAAAAAAATGAAAGGTGAACATTATGAGTTTTGGTACCCAGCAGTTAAATCAATATTTCAAAAATCTGAGACACGTGGTTTTATTGCTAGTGTTTGGTCAATATTAAAGAGATGAAAACAAATGTGTCCTTCCATTTGACGCATATTTCATCTAAGTTTGGGAGCAACTTTTTGGCAGATATATATAATGAGCTGTATATTTTCTTAATCAATCATACCAAAAATTAGATTTGCTGTAGATTAAGAACACGAGTAATATTTCAGCTTGTAAAAACAGTGAATAACCGGTAAATGAAAAAATGATATTTTCAAAATTTGCTTCAGATTTTGACTCTTGATTATACAATAGCTTCTGTCCAAGCTTCATAATATTCTAAGAAGGTTTGAAAAAAATATTGATGTGAAAAAATAAACTTCATCCAAAATATGTATCTAAATGTTAACTTCCAAATTATTTTAGTCCATTAATGAAAGGGAAAAATGTCTCAAAATTTTGCTCTGGATACTGTCTTTTGAATCATGAGCAAACTTCTGTCAAAGTTCTGTCATAAATTTCCATGAAGGTTTGACAAAGTTATATATGTGCGAAAACCTTTTAATCATTAAATAAATCGTTTCAATTTAATAAAAAACGAATAAAACCAAGATGAAGAATACAATTTTCTGACTGAAACCCTGTTGTGACTATCGAAGTCTTCCATCAAAAACTTGGCCAAAGAAAACTATGAACAAGAAAACTTCGAAAAAGAAAATTTGAACAAGAAAACTTGGTCAAAGTCATCTGTTCAATGTCATCATCAAAGTTTTTCATAATTTTCTTTTTAAAAGGCGGGATTTCCATGTTTACTTGAAGAAATATGGCTCTAATAAACTTTTCACTGTGTATTATCATTTAGAGAAGGTGAAGGATTAATCGTAAAATAGTAACGAAAACGGGAAGAAGTAACTGGCTTCTAAGAAGAAGTCAGAGTAGTACCGAACAGAATCCTTCAAGAACTTCACACTGAAGATCTCCGAGGTCGAATTAAGGAATTATTTTGAAATTGAAAAAGCGACATTCAATCTGCTATTGGCCAGATCGAACCATTGGTCAAAATACATTCTACAAATTCACATTCATATATCGATTTATTTCTCCACATTGTTTTCTTTTTACTTGAACTCATTCTACCATTTCCGATAAATTTGCCATGTACTTTTGTTTTGTGAACAAAATATTGATAATTTCTAAACAACACTATGATGGGCTGATTCCCGTCAAAATACAACAAAGTTTCAAGAAAATTCGAATGAGATTCTATTCCATTAAAGTCCGTGAAAGTTTTTGTCATCAGTATTTTTCACAGTCAACTGTTGTCATTAGAACAAATTTAATCTTTCAAAAAGTTGGACCAAGTATTCTTAGACAAAGAAAATTTTAATAGTGACTACGGGTCTTTAGTGCAATGTCGAAAAATTTCATGTCGGTTCGAAGACGCCCTTTTTTAAACGATAGACTGAACCTATGTTTACGACACCGAAGATATCGAGGACGAGAACGTCCCACAACTGATGGATTGTAGTGTCTCGCTTCCGCAACACTTGTTGCCAGCTCGACCGCAAATTCGTCATCGCGAAACAGTTTATACAAACCTATCGAGTTCAATAATGATAATGATGTGCAATAAAACGTTGAAGTAACTACTCCGTAGAGAAATTGACCAAGACGTTCTAAGTCAGGAACCTGTTGTTCAGTGGTTGTCGTTTGTTGATAAGTGTTTCTTGTTTCTCGATTTTTATATAGATAAGACCGTTGGTTTTCCTGTTTCATTTATTTTTTTTGGTCCTTTATAGCTTGCTGTTCGGTGTGGGCCAAGGCTCCGTCTTGAAGGCCGTACTTTGACCTCTAATGGTTTACTTTTTACAAGTTGTGACTTGGATGGAGAGCTGTCTCATTGGCACTCATACCACATCTTCTTATATCTATATAAGTTCCTAACACACGGCTATGTCGGGTTTATGAATTTATTGAAATTGGTTATGTGATTTGAATTTATATTCAAATAAAGATTTCTTGCTATTGTGCAATACACAGTGCTGTTGCGCAATACTTAGTAAATCTGTTTTCAGACTATATACCAAGAATTAGCAAAAGAAATTGTGACCCCCAATTTTTTTTTTGGGGGGGAATGATAATTTCTTAAATCTTCGGAGGGAAAAAAATTGACCCCCCCCCCCCCCCCCCCCCCAAAAAAAAACTTTTGTACCCTTCCCCTCAAAAAATTAATATTTAAAGAAATTTTGTTTTTTTGTAAAATGTGGTACAATTCAAGAGACAACCATACACTTCAACACAAATAATTGTCTGAAAACTAGAATCATGCTTGTTTTGGCCCCTAATTCCTGAACGGTTTGGGCAATTAGTCCCAAAATGAATCTCAACCTTCTACTTATGGTATTGAACCTTGTAGTATAATTTTAGAGCAATCAAAATACTGAAACACAAGTTATTGTCCTGAAACTAGAAAAATGCTTGTTTTGGGCCCCCTTTTGGCCCCTTTTTCCTATACGGATGTGACCATCACCCCCATAAACAAACCCAACCTTCCTTTTGTGGTATTGAACCTTTAAGTAAAATTTCATAGAGATGCGTACACTTATACTAAAGTTATTTTCCGGAAACTAAATGTCTTCGGAAGACGACGACGTGATAGCAATATACGAACGTACTTTTTTTGCGGTCGTATAAAAACGATTAAGAAACGTCGCACGATACTGGTGTTATTTTGATGAAATCGTGGACAAGACACACTCATGTCATTAATTTATAAACAATAAAATTGATATTCTGAAGTATTATGTATCATTTTAAAGCTTTTAAATTCTACTTTCAGAATATTGCAATTTTGTATATGTAACAGACTATTTTCATTAAGTAAAAATCAATAAAACCTTCATTTTTGAATATTATTTCCTTGTCCCGCGTTACACTTTAAGTTTTGTGAAATTCTGAATATCGTAAAAAATATATAAAAAATTCCACCAACCTATATAAAAGTTTTGTCTAGAAAAAACACGTCATAATTGGTCGATGATGTATATATATATGTCGGTTTCGTTCTTTGAAAAGACTGATTTTTTTTAAAAGGGATGAAGATGATACAAATTATGTGTCCCATGCACGAAAAAAAATTGCCGTCATTTTTCTAAATTGTCCCCAAAAATGGGAATAACAGAGCAACCACCATGTCGAAGGTAACTAATTCTTATACTTGTATTTTGTACAAAGCTCACACTTTCGCCTCACGCAATTATCAGGTTTTTTTAAAATAATTTCTTTTAATTCGAGTTGAATAACAATGTCCGACATTTTGTCCCCTTCAAAAACAATTGACATAGTGTTACGTTTTTCTGTTTTATGATATTTATTTCATTGATACAGTGCTATTCACTACATAAAAAAAGTATAGGTGATAAAAGTACAAACAATTCTCTCTATTTTGATATTTATTTCTCATAAATCTAATCTAAAATACGAAATATCAGATACATCTACAATGTCCCGACATACGATTTTGACGTTATGTAACAAAATATACAAATGTTACGACTCATTGTCATTATTGCGGTATTCACAGACGATTCGGAATACGGCTATTTTTCGGTTGCTTGTGAAGAAAACTTTTAATGTTTTAGGTAAAAGCTCTACCAATTCATTGGAGGGGAAATATTTCCTCGCGGAACAGAAGTGTTTTCCGGACTTTGTTATGATCGACAGGCCCATCCGCTACAACACAAATTAATACGGAAAGGAAAGCAGCTATTATTCCCGCTGATTCCCTTGCATATATTTGTGAAGAACTCAATCAAACTGTCATGTTAACTATACTGTAGTCCATTCGCCTCAACATTCTGGATTGTATAAAAGAATGCATTTGCAGTGCGTTGTGTATTAAAAAGAAATTGATTGCTTTTTGTAATTAAAATGTATACTATTCAAATGATTTCAATTAAATTAACATTTTTACTTTTAATTTGTTAATAAAAAGCTTAGTATCTACTATCTAAGAAAAATATGAATCTTGCTTACGTATTCAAGTGTGTAACGTTAGGTGACACCAGTTTCGTGCGACGTTTCTAAAATATTCTTCATAGAAATTCAGTGTTAAGCAGCAGCCCATTTTGAGACCTCAAGTCCATATCATATTTTCCAGTATGCCGGAGGATTTCTTGGCTAATTGTTATAATTTGAATGCAAACAAAACGATAAGGATTGGCAAATCAGACAAGTGAAAATTCTCAAGAGATTTTCCTTATCAATAATCAAATAGTGTATATGTCAAGTATTTGCTTCAATAGTATAAAAAATTATAATAACAACTTAATGCTATCATATTTTATAATTAATTAATGCTATGTAATGTGATATATTCAAAACATAATTCTTGAGCCCTCATATTATAGATAACATGTAAATACTAGTTTTTATATTTCAAATAAAAATAAAATTTGAGAAACCACAAGCGGTGCGGTAAATACTGTCCATCGATCTAAACAATGATAAACCATAATACTTTTATTTAACCAGTTGGCACTCATAAACCAAAGAATGGCTAATGTATTCATCCCTTGGTATCTTCAGCCTCCTTTTTATCAACACATTTATTCATTTTAGAAATGATATAATGTTTGAATCTTTTGTCAGAGCAATACATTTATGTAGAGTGTAAATACAAGTTTTTGTTCTTTTTTTCTCACTTTTTTAAATTTAAATAAATTTAACATGGAAATAAAGTAGAAAAATAAATATATTTAATGCGGTGACCCTGTATATAGGTGGAAATCTCAAAGAAGAGAAAAAAGAAACTTAAGATACTACGTATACATGGTATATACTAATTTCCCAAAATGATTTATTCACTCGCAAGGTTAATTGCATTTTCTATTTCATGAAACAATAGGAAATTTCCTAACAACTAATCAATTTCCCATCAATATAATCTTTTGTTATACGAAATTGATTTATCATATACAAGTTTCGCTTTTCACTGACGCTAGTATTAAAACTAAATATTGTGTAAATTAAATACGACATTCATTTTTTTTTTCATAACGAAATAAAAGATGCATATAATAATTTCGTGATATATGAAAAAATATTAAACTTGATATATTCACAAGTGCCTTAAGTGTATATTGCTTAGACATAGCAGCAGCAAAGTCATATAGCAGCTCCTGTCAACAATCGACCAACGTTTTTGTTACATATATTAATTTGTTCAATATACTGTCATTCCATTTGCAGACACAATGCGGTTTGGGGGTTGTCTTCTAGTCTTTGTTCGCTGTCTTTTTGTCAATACACCAGACTAGTTTTGTATTTATAATTTCAAAAAAGCTAGGGCATATGAATTATGTAGAGATAAATGACACTTCTTTTTAAAAAAAACTTGTCGATACAATTTCGGACTTGTACATCAAAATGAGATGACCCCATCTGTGATGTTTTAAGAAAATATAAATGATGCACAAGCATCACTAGTTGAAAACAGAACTTTTAACTGAAACCATCTGTCGAAATGTTCGAGTGAAAGTTCCTTCTGCTACAACATGACACCATCTCTGGGAAGGCTGGTTACGACCATACTCGATTAAACAACATAGTTACGCCAAACAAAGTTACGTCTATATTAACCTTTTCTTCGTTTACAATTAAATATACAATGTATATGCAATATTTGTACTCACCTATATCATATTTCTTTGAAACGTCCTCTTCGTTATATACATACTCAATATTGCCTTCCATGACCTGGAATCGAATTTGAATTTTTGAACCAATGAAAAAATAGAGATGTAACGGCGCATATTTTCAAAATTTTCAAACTATACTAACTCTACTTCCGTTCCACTTTAAATGTTTGAAATACGTATGGAAATAAAGAAACCGAGAATAAACAAATGTTAGCATGCCATATAATCTTAAAACATATAAATACATACTGAATATTTGTTCCGGATCAACAAATTACAAATTGAAAATTATTGAAACTTGTGAAATCGTGTTAGTTAGTCAGTCATACACAAGTTTTTGGAATATACTGTGTTCTGGAATTTAAAAAACCCAACAACAACAACGCAAATATCTATCAACCAGTGTTAATGTGGTGACATCTTTACAAGCAAGTCTTACATCTTTTTGTGATATATACTTTGGGAAGACTTTACGTAATGATGACAGAAGTTCAATTATGGAGACGAGACTAGTGAAAACGGTGAGTGTTTCTTTTATTCACAATGTGTCACTATAAAAATAAACGTTTAATTCTCAAAATATCTTAACTTATACAATAATTAAACCAGTAAATCATCATTTCGCCCTTTCTAAATTATGTGTACAGGGTTCCAAATAAATGTTCCCATTAAAATGCAAATTATGATCGTCCCAAAACAGGGTTTCCAACCCCGAACCCCCACCCCCTGGATCCGCAACTGGTGTAACAAATCCAATATAAATCACACATCTTTTGACTGATAAATTTCGGTTCATATTTCATTTTGAATCTCCTTAATTTTTGACTAATATGATACAGAAAGTAATATCATAGTTTTCTTTTGTCATAATACGAAATAGTTAATTATGTTCAGTCATTTTCAAACTGACAACGACATGGCTATAAAGAAAAACAACAGAACACAACCCTTAAGACTGAGCAACACGAACCCCACCACGAGTTAATTGTATATATATATTTTTATATCATTTATTTATATAAATGAAATTGTCGGTCCAAAAAATATATAATAATTAAAAATTTAACAAATAAAAAAACGTCTGCTCTAAGACATGCAGAAACGGGAGAACCAATATAATCGATTGATATAAGTATGAAGTCCTGCACTACATCATGTACATGTATGCTATAAAACTAAAACACTTTCAGCATGTTTTATTCACACCATAATCATGATAATCACCATCGTCTATTTTTTGTTATTATCAGAAATAGTATTATTATTATACATGTTATATTAGTAGTGTTGTTGTTCTATTCCAGACACACTGATATTGATATATAATAATTTGTACTTATTCATTTATTCAATTAATACTTATCAAAACTTTAAAACATCTATGAGAATATTATATAGTTAACAAAAAACTATCAAAATACTATCTTCATGAATTTGAATGCTAAAAATAGTATATTTTTATACGTACCTCCATTAGAATTCCAAGAGTATAATGCTGTGTAAAGGTTTCACAAACAAACCGTGTGCTGTATTTGGCGGGAGACACACACTATTATAGATTACAATCACCGTTTAGCATGTTTAGACAGCTAGTAAAACCATATGGTTCATACACATGGATTACGAGATACAATTGGTATTTCTTATCGGATGAAATACTTGTCAAGAAAGATGTTATATTAACTGCAATTATGGCTCCAAAATTAGGGGAGTCAGGAAAAACTGTGTTTTGCACCCCCTTTTTTGCCAAACATCTTTTTTTTTAACAAATGAAAGATGACGCTGACTTATTTTTTTTTCTCTTCCCTTGTCGCTTTCAGAGTCTATTGGATAATTACGTTCATACCGGTAGAGAACATTTTAGCGCATAAATCATGTTAAATAGGACATTTTAGCGAAAACAATCATGGGTGACGTTTTAGCTCCAAAGTATAACCCAATTTAGCGCATGATGTTTAATCCATTTTAACAAAAAGTGAAATTATCAATGCCCATTTTAACGAAAATTTTAATTGTCAATGATTATTAGCGACATAAATTAATTAATAGTATATTAATAAATTTAATAGAATCAAGACAGCACAATACAAAAAATATCATGTCCATTAACATGATTCAAATACAGCACTAAAAGTCTACTGAAAAGTTTAACTCAAATGTAACAAGTCCGTTTTAGCCTGGAATCTATATCCTAACCATTTGCTAGCGGAGGTATATGTACGTAACGCCCTCTTGATATACCCCTTGTACCATGTGTACATTTACTTCTCATTAAATATACATCTTTTTAATCCTGTTAAATAAAATAGTTCGTAAAGGATTTTTACTATTGCAATAAACATGATAAATACAAAAATATATATTTACCATCAATTTGTTTACAGTTATTATACAATTCAAGTTATATAGTCTGTTTTGTCTTTGAATATTCCTGAAACGACCAGGGGCCGGTTTCACGAAGCTATTATAAGACCTGTCATAAGACATATCTTAGGACATGTCTTATGACCCTCTTATGACTATCCTATGACATATTTCAGACCTCATCTCGAAGCTGTCTTAGGATGATCTTAGCAAAGATATCCTAAACATGTCGCAACTTCTTTAAATTTAAACAAAATAAAGAATAAGTGTAATTTATATAAATAGTCTATTAATAATTTACTAATATACATATGAACTTAAAATACAAAATTGAGAAAAGGTAATACAATTATAACATTTTTTTGTACAAGTGAGTTGAATTCAATTTGTCCCTGTATCGGTTTAAAATAATAAGGTAAAAGGATAAAATCGTGCACTCTTGATACCAATACATCGAATGTTCATTGTTGACAAATCATGATATAAATCCCTCAACCAATAAAGATTTAGTTGTGAGCAGGACATGGAGAATAGATAATTGGATAAGAATTAGATAATTTGCAAAATCAATATAAAAATTGCGTGTTATTTATATAAATAAACTTAAGACACCTCTCGTGTAGTCCTAACTTTATGACCAACTTTAAGAGATGTCCTAATTTAGGACCACTTTGTGAAACCCACTTAGGACTAAGATATGTCGTAAGACCATCCTAAAACATGTGAAACTGGCCCCAGGCTCTTTTTATTTCCAAATCATGATCAGTGCTTCGAAAATTTGTTATAAGTTGTCTACTTTTAATTTAACTTGCTTCATTGAATAGAACTTACTATATGACATAAAGAATACTATTGAATATTATTCAAGTTATGTACATTTTGTAATGTTATATGTTTGAATTTTTCAAAACATTATTCCTAATTTTTTTTCTCTAAAACAGGTTTATAATTAATCGTTTGAAAACACAAAAATATCTATGTTTTCATGCTTATTCTGCTATATCTAAATTTGATTCTTCGCTTATTTTAGGTGCAAGGGATACCATATAAAACTTAAACGTTGGGCGAAAGTGTGTAATTGCAGGATAAAAACACTACATGTACATAGTTAGAAATTATAAAAAAATATTGGTGTACTAAAACGAAGCATCAGAAAGGCTCGGTAAGACTCGCGTTCTCTCCTGTTTCATAAAGTTAGTATAAATAATTCTTATATTTTCCGACAATGTACATATACTGTTTATATGAGTGGGGTATGGGGTATGAAAATGAAAATAAGACAGCAACCCAATGACACGAACAACGAAAGACACATTGATGCCAACATACGGTTAAGAGGAGTCTATACAATCAATCATAATTCCAGTTAATTTATATAAATTTAACACAGACTATCAAGTACCTGCAATCAAAACCAAAACTACGCATTTACATGAACAAATGACAAAAGACAACTAATTGCGAGCTTTTAAACAGTTAACGGGATTGAACTAGCTTTTTAGACCTCAACAACACTAACATAATATTGACCAATGGACAAACAAATGTAGAAATATACAATATTCGGTCACTGTCAGAAAAATATCAACTTTTATGCATGGGGCTTAAAAACTATCGAAAGGCGAGGTTGACCAAGTTGTTCAACTGTTTCGTGCCGAATACAAACAAGTTGATATCTTACGAACCACAAATTTGGAAGAAAAATGACGTGATGACGTTGTTTATATCCGCCATACAGTTTTTTTCCGGGCAATGCTACTTATCCGATGCGAGGTTGATAAGCATTATACAATTATTGTCTTTTGATGGGGTTGATAAATATAGATTCTACCACTGCATCGAGTGTGATACGATATTTATCCGCTCGAGACAGTTTTGAAAATTTTCAAATTTAAAACGCGAGGCTTGCCCGAGCGTTTTAAATATTTAAAATTTAACTGTCGAGATTGGATAAATATCGTATTACACGAGATTTTGTGGTGGAATCAGTTTCTCGAATGATTTTTATGCAGTATGCAGGCAAACTTATTCCTTCGTCTAAAAAAATGTGTTCTTTCTATTTGACGTCATCAGGCATGGTCGCCTTTTTTCATGACGTCACAATAGGAAATTCAGAAGAAAGCAAGAAAATTTGACGTCATAATCGAATTTCTACCAATGAATAGCTGGGATCAAACGAACCACACGTTGATTAAATATAGATTCTACCATTGTATCGAGTGTGATACGATATTTATCCACTCGAGACAGTTAAATTTTCAAATCTAAAACGCGAGGCTCGCCGAGCGTTTTAAATATTTAAAATTTAACTGTCGAGAGTGGATAAATATCGTATTACACGAGATTTGGTGGTGGAATCTGTTTCTCTAATGATTTTAAAACAATATGCAGGCAAACGTTTCCTTCTTTTCAAATGATCTGCAAAAAGATGTGTTCTTTCTATGAGACGTCATCAGGCATGGTCGCCTTTTTTCATGCCGTCACAATAGGAAATTCAGAGGAAAGCATGAAAATTCGACGTCATAATCGAATTTTGACCAATGAAGAACTGAGATAAAACGAACCACACGTTGATTAAATAAAAATAATCAACATGTTGGGAAAAGGATAAATCGTGTAAGAATTAGAGAAATATAGATTCTACCACTGCATCGAGTGTGATACGATATTTATCCACTCGAGACAGTTAAATTTTCAAATTTAAAACGCGAGGCTCGCCGAGCGTTTTAAATATTTAAAATTTAACTGTCGAGAGTGGATAAATATCGTATTACACGAGATTTGGTGGTGGAATCTGTTTCTCTAATGATTTTCAAACAATACGCAGGCAAATGTATTCGTTCTTTTCGAATGATCTGCAAAAAGATGTGTTCTTTCTATGTGACGTCATCAGGCATGGTCACCTTTTTTCATGCCGTCACAATAGGAAATTCAGAGGAAAGCAAGAAAATTCGACGTCATAATCGGATTTTAACCAATGAAGAACTGAGATCAAACGAACCACACGTTGATTAAATTTTTGTTTATACAATGGGTGCAGAAAGGGATAAATTGACGAAGAATTAGAGAAATAAAAAAAATCAACAGGTTAAGAAAACGATAAATAAGCTAAGAATTAGAGAAATCTGTGTATCAACTGAAATCAAAAGTCAACAACAGTTTTATTATATAACTTTTATCCTTCTCCAATTTTTCTAGTATTTGCTCAAGATACATTAAAAACTGCTCCATTTGTTTTACTAAATATATTATCTGCTTTTGTTTTTTCGTCAATATCCTGGTACAAAAATATTGAACGAAAAACGAATATGATATACTTGACCCAACGACAACCACTGAATTACAGGCTCCTTCCTGATTTGGGACAGGCACACACAGAATGTGGCGGGGTTAAACTAGTTTGAAGGCGCCAACCCACCCCTAACATGGAACAGTGGTGTAACAGACATGACAGAACAACATTAGAAAGAATTATGAAAAATCAGTTGAAAAGGGCTTAACTCATCAGATTGATACAAAGCAGAAATACATTTAACAAAAACACAGACCGGACGGGACGTGGCAGGGTACTTATTCATCCCATAATAAAAAAAAAACAACTTAGTATACATCTCTGAGACTACTCGCAGTTACTGAAACCCAGGTCAAAGTCAATAATAACAAATGATAAACAAAATCATGTATTTTAGACACAAACGACTTTTGCTCTAAACTCATACACTTCGAATTGACTCAAACTCTTAAAATTTTGATGTATAACATAGTTTTAAATGAGACGATCTTTTTAAAAGTGAACGGACGACTGACACCGACGACGGTCGATGACAGAAGATGGACGCTAAGTGATGGGGGTAAGCTCACCTGCATGGGCCTTCGAAATGAATAATTTAACAGTTGACCGAAAAATCCTAAGCATTATAAGAAATTCTTTAGACCATAAATGACCATATTTACATACCTAACTTGCTTTGGTTTGAAACAGATTTTTTTTTTCAGTCCATACTTGACCTTTCATTAAGATGGAGAGCAACATTCAAAGCATTATTCTTTTAATAAATATACGTAATGCATGTACATCCACCAAACTCCAGTGGCAGATTCAAAGGAGGGGGTTTGTTGAGGGTGTACCCTAATTGTTAGAAAAAAATACATGCTTTTGCTTAAAATTGTAATTTGTTTACCATTTTGGACAATTAAACCTCTTTA